AAACCCCTGAGCGAGGCTGCGCCGACGGCGATGGACGTGAAGCTCAGCGCGGAGCTCGAGGCGCGGCTGCACCTCGAGAACGTGTTCGAATCCCCGGAGGAGTGCGCGCGACGCGAGGAAGTTCTGGGCGAGATCAACGAGGCGCTGCAGGAGTGGGTGAAGGCGGCGTCCGCGGCGAAAGGGATCGAAGAGGACCTCGAGCCGCGGTGTAACCTGTACACGTTCGGGTCGTACCGGCTGGGCGTCCACGGCCCCGCGGCGGATATCGATACGCTGTGCATCGGTCCGCGGCATCTCAGCCGAAGCGAAGATTTCTTCGGAAGCGAGTGGACGGAGTACGAAGGGAGCTTCTACCTCGCGATGAAGAACCACCCGGGCACGGACAGGATCGTCGCGGTCCCAGACGCGGTCGTACCGGAGCTCAAGCTCATCTTCCGCGGCTTCGAAGTCGACATGGCGTACACGTCGTTGCCGTCGTTCATCGCGGTGCCGGAAGATTTGGACGTGTGCCAGACGTCGATCCTTCAGAACCTCGACGACGCGTCCGTGAAGTCCCTGAACGGCTGCCGCGTCGCGGATCAACTCCTCCGGCTCGTGCCGAACCACGCCTCTTTCCGCATCGCGCTCCGCGCGCTTCGCGTGTGGGCGCGAGAGCGCGGGGTGTATTCAAACGTGCAGGGGTTTTTCGGCGGCGTGAACCTGGCGATTCTCGTCGCGCGCGTCTGCCAGCTGTACCCGAACGCCGCGGCGTCGATGCTCGTGTACTCGTTCTTTCAGCTCTGGGACGCGTGGCAGTGGACGACGCCGGTCATGTTGACCGCGATCATCGATGAAGGCCACGGGTTGAGGGTGTGGGACGAGCGCGTGAACAAGGCTGAGCGGTTTCAACTGATGAAGATCATCACCCCCGCGTATCCGGCGCAAAATTCGACGTTTAACGTGACGCACTCCACGCTGCACGTGTTAAAGCGAGAGTTCAAGCGAGGGAGGGAGACGTGCGCGAAGATTCTCATGGGCCAGACGAAGTGGGAGTCGCTCTGGGAGCCGCTGCCGTTCTTCACGATGCACAAGCACTACCTTCAAGTCACCATGTGCGCAATCACGGAGGACGACTTCAAAAAGTGGGAAGGGTGGGTCCACTCGCGATTACGCATGCTCGTGCAGGCGGTGGAGACGTGCAGCGGCGGCGCGCTCATCGCGCACCCGTACCCGGAGCGCAAGCAGGACCCCGCGAAGGATTCCGCGCTGCACTGCATCTATTACATCGGGTTAGGCCCCGCGCCGCCGCCGACGACGGGCGGCCCCGCGCCTCGAGGGACTCTGAACTTGAACCCCGCGGTTGAGCAATTTCAGGCGCGTTCGATCTTACACTGGTCCCCATACGACCCCGTTCGCGTGGTGAACGCCGATCCTTAAGGACTTTTCCCGGCGTTTCTCTCCGCCCACCCCTTCCTTTCAATCCCCGACCTCGACGCCTTTCAACTCCACTTCTGACGCCTATGAAATCCACCCCGACGTTCGCTCGTATGGAACGACCCTCAGATGCTCGTGACGTCGTGGGTGAACCGCGCGGACGGCACCGTGCAGTGGCAGCCCGGGATGGAGGTGCACGTGAAGCACATGAAACGGAAGGACGTCCCGGCGTGGGCGATCCCGGACTCCGGGAAGGAAGGGAAGGAGGAGGCGCGAACGCCGGCGGATCCGAAGGCGGCGGCGGCGGCGAACGAGAGGGCGGCGGCGGCGGCGGCGGCGGCGGCGGCGGCGCAAGCCGCCGCGGAGGAGAACGCGGAGGGTGGCGCCGCCGCCGCCGCGGTCGGGGCGAAGCGCGGGCGCGAGGACGACGCGAACGGGAACGGGGAAGAAGACGCGGAAGCGGGTGCCTCGGCGGCGGCGGACGGCGAGGAGCCGGCGGCGAAGCGCGAGAAGAAGGGCGAGGGCGACGACGCGGCGGCGGCGGCGGCGGAGGACGCGGGCGGTGAGGATAAAGAGAACGAGACGACGACGACGACGACGGAGACCGCCGCCGCCGCGATCGAGGTCCCCGAGCCCGTGGATCACGACGACGACATCGCGGGGTTGGGCGGGACGCACGACGAGATCGGCGGCGACGTCGGAGAGCGCGCCGCCGCGAAGGCCAAGGCGCCGGGTGGGAAACTGAAAGTGTCCTTCGCGTCCGTCGTGAAGAGGTGACGCGCTGCGACGACGCGTCGGACGCGTAGACGTTCGCGGCGCGTGTAACGTAAACGGCGCGGTAGACTATTCGTTCGCTCGCGTCGCTCTTCTCTCTTCGATCTCTGCTCTCGTCGCGCTCGGCGGCTCGCCGGCGCCGAAGAAGACGAAACTGTTCGTCTCCGAAAATAAAATGAGGACGCAGCAGCTGCAGGTAGCAGCTGCAGCGCGCGGCTGTTCGTCGCGACAGCGTCATATTTAACGCGCGCGCTCTCCGACCGAACGCCATGGCTCCCGAAGGCACCGGATGGCTGCACGGCCTCGTCAAGGCCGTGCCGAGCGGCGATTGCGTCGTCGTCATGGGCGCCTCCGCGGCGGTGCGTCGTCGTCGTCGTCGTCGTCGTCGTCGTCGACGCCCTCTCGGACGGATCGACCGTTCGATCGGACGAGATCGGCACTCTCGCGCCTCGATCGCTCCGCCGACTGACGACGCCCGCGCCCTCCCCCCCCACCGCCCCGCCGCAGGCTGGCCCGCCGCCGGAGAAGACGATCACGCTCGCGTCCCTCATCGCGCCTCGCATGGTGCGTCCCCGCGCCGCGAACGCGAGATCGCGCGCGTTCGACCGATCGTTCGGTCGATCGGTCGATCCAAACGTCGTCCGCGACGTTCGCTTTCCCTTCGACCCCCGCCGCGTCCGATCGATCGATCGACGGAGATCTGCGTCGATCTTCTCAGCCTGAGATGGACGACGCCGCGCCGTCGCCGCCCGCGACGCTGACGCTTCCTTCCCCTCGTCCCGGTCCCGCGATCGTCTCCCAGGCGCGTCGCGATAACTCCACGAGGGACGAGCCGTTCGCGTGGGACTCGAGGGAGTTTCTTCGCAAGCGCCTCGTCGGACGACGCATAAAATTTCGCGTCGAGTACGTCGTCTCGTCCATCGGCCGCGAGTTCGGGACGATCTACGTCGGGGACGAAAACGTCTCTCTCGCGAGCGTTTCTCACGGATGGGCGCGCGTGCGGCCGTCCCAGGGCGGCGACGCCGCGGCGAACTACGACGAGCTCGTCGACGCGGAGCGAGAGGCGCAGACGCGCGAGGCGGGTCTGTGGACGAAGGACGCGACGAAACTCGCGGCGGCGACGCGCTCCCCGCCGGCGCCAGAAACGGTCGATAACCGTACGTTACTTTCCACCCGCCGCGGCGTTCCGACGCCCGCGATCGTCGAAGCCGTGCTGAACGGCGGCTGCCTCCGCGTGTGCCTTCTCACGGACGAGCTCGAGACGAGACACGCGACGATCACGGTCAACGTCGCCGGCGCGCAGTGCCCGGCGATGGGGAAAAGACCGAAACTCGACGCGGCGGCGGGCGGGGAAGATGGAACGTCAACCGTCGCAGCTGCGCCCGAACCCTTCGCGCGCGAGGCGAAACACTTCACCGAATGCCGACTCTTACACCGCGAGGTTCGCGTCGTGTTCGAAGGCGCGGACAAGTACGATAATCTCCACGCGACGGTGTTGTTCGCGGAAAACGGCGCACCCGTGGACGTCGCCGCCGCGCTCGTCTCCGAAGGCCTCGCGAAAGTCGTGGACTGGTCCGTCGCGCTCATGACCGACCCGATCGCGGGCGCGCAGCGGCTGCGCGCGGCGGAGAGAAAAGCGAAGGACGCGCGGGCGAGGATTTGGAAGACGTACACGCCGCCGGCGTCGAGCATGAGGTGCGTTCTATACACTGGTCCCCATACGACCGCGTTGGCGATGTGGACGCCGATCCTTAAGGACTTTTCCCGGCGTCTCTCTGCGCCCACCCCCCGCTTTCAATCCCCGCCCTTGGCGCCTTTCAACTCCAACTGACGCCTTTCAACTCCACCCCGACAATCGCTTGTATGGAACGACCCTGAGCGCTCTGACGTTGAAAGCCGGGAGGGAATTCGCGGGCGTCGTGATCGAAGCCGTCAGCGGGGACTGTCTCGTGATCGCGGACGCGTCGAGCGGGATGGAGCGCCGCGTGAACCTCGCGTCGATTCGCGCGCCGAGGATCGGGAACGAGCGGCGAGGGCAGAAACCCGAGGCGTGGGCGACGGAGGCGAAGGAGTTCCTGAGGCAGAGAGCGGTCGGGCATTCGGTCGAGGTCGTCATGGAATACTCGCGGAAAATCGGCGGCGGCGGCGGCGGCGGCGGCGGCGTAGACGTAACGGCAACCGACGCCGCCGCCCCCGAGCGTCACCTCGACTTCGGCACGGTCTCCCTGGCGAGCGACGGCGCCAACCTCGCGGAGATGCTCGTCATGCGCGGCTTCGCGAGCGCCATCAAGCACCGCGGCGACGACGAGAGAAGCGGTCGGTACGACGACATCCTCGCCGCGGAACAGCGGGCGATCAAAGGGAAGAAGGGCGTTCAAAACCGAGACCGCGAGGCGCCGATCCACCGCGTCAACGACGCGAGCGCGACCGCGGCGAAAGCGAAGCAGTTCCTGCCGTTCCTGCAGCGCGCGGGGAAGAGCGCGGGGGTGGTCGAGTACGTCGTGACCGGGCACCGGATGAAGATTCACGTGCCGAAGGAGTCAGCGTCGATCGCGTTTTCGCTCGCGGGCGTGCGGTGCCCGCAGCCGCCGCGATCCGGATCCGGGGGTGAACCGCACGGTGCAGATGCGTTACGTTTTGTGCGGCACGCGTGCTTGCAACGCGACGTCGAGATCGAGGTCGACGCCGTGGATAAGACGGGGACGTTCTTAGGGCACCTCACGACGCAGGGCGGCAGGTTTAACCTGAGCGAGGAACTCTTGAAGCGCGGGTTAGGGACGCTTCACCCGTCGTTCACCCCGGAGCGTCACCCCAGCGGCGAGTCCCTCGTCCGCGCGCAGGAGCAAGCGAAGCAAATCCGCGCCGGGGTCTGGGTCGGGTGGTCCCCGGAGGCGGAGGCGGCGGCGGCGGCGGCGGCGGCGGCGGCGCGCGGCGCCGCATCCGCCGCCGCCGCGGGGGGAGGAGGCCCGAAAGAGACGACCACGCTCGGCGTCACGGAGGTCATCACCGGGACGACGTTCTTCGCGCAGAGAGCTGACGGCGATCGCGCGGACTGGCTCTTCGAGCAGCTCCAAGCGTGTAACGCAAACGATTCGAGCGTTACTTCCTTCGCGCCGAAGCGCGGGCAGATGGTCGCGGGACGATTCACCGGCGACGACGCGTGGTATCGCGCCATCGTCACCGAGCCCCCCCGGAACGACGCGATCAAGGTCTTCTACTGCGACTACGGCAACGGCGAGGCGCTGCCGCCGTCGCGCGTGCGGCCGTTGGATCCGTCGCTCGCGCCGTTCCCGCCGCTCGCGAAGCTGTGCGCGCTCGCCGGCGTGAAGCCGGCGCCGGACGACTTCGGTCGCGACGCGCTCGATAACCTCAGAGCGCTCGCGATGGGTCGCGCGCTGTTCTCGCGCGTCGAGTCCGCGCACGCGGCGCCGCACGCGCCGTGGGACCCGGACGCGTCGCCGGAGTGGACGGTCACCCTGGGCGCGCGCCGCGACGAGAAGAGCGGCGAGGGCGGCGAGAAGAACGACGAGGACGGGCCGTCCGTGAACGAGGCGATGGTCGCGGACGGGTACGCGCGCGCGGATAAAACTCTAAAGCTTAAACCCGGCGTGTTTCAGGCGCTGCTCGTCGCGCAGGAGCGCGCGAGGAAGAGCAGGGCGGGGATGTGGGAGTACGGCGACGTCGACAGCGACGACGAGGAGCCGAGCGGCGGCGGCGGCGGCGGCGCGTGGGGAAGAGGCAGGCGATGACGCGCTCGACGGCGGCGCTTTTTTGCACTGAAGATACTTCGCACGCGCGGTACTCGTAGTTTACAACAAGATCGACGCGACGCCGCCGACGCGTCAGTACGCGAGCTCGTCTTTGTCCCCTTTCTTCCCCCCCCACCGCTCGAGGTGCAGCCCCGCGGGGTCCCAGCCCATCGACGCCGACAGATGTCGTCGAACGCGGTGCGAATTAAATTCGAACCCTCGCGGCCATCCCTTCTGATACCGCGAATACAGCGTCGACTTACCCGTCTCGACGTCGCGAATCTTGCGATGGAGCTTCTTCAGGCGCTTCGGGAGATGGTAGATGGCGTCCTCGCCGTACTTGTACGCGCTCTTCGCCTGCGCGGGGGTTGACGGGGGGTCGGTCGCGTTGAGACGCCGCCGCCGCGCGAAAAGATATGCGTGCATCGCGGATATCCAAATCTTCACGCTGACTGGACACATTTAATGCCGTTCCCCCGGCGAGATCGGGGTCGCGCGCGCACCTCTTTTTGCATGATGATCGCCGCACTCCGCAGCATCTCTTTCGCGATGTTGCGCGTCATGGTTTCTGCGCGTTTCGGGCGCGCGAGGGTCTCTCGATGGTCCAGACGCGCGCGCGACGTTCGAACGCGCGCGCGAGCGAAAAAAAAGGCGGGGGCGAGTAACGGCCTTCGCTCAGATCCCGCGGCGTGTACGCGGCGTCGCGCGACGCTCGACGGGCGTATCGACGGTCGCGAGTCGCGCGCGAAGTTCACGCTCTCACGGCGCGAGGTGTAGAACGTCGAGACGCGCGCGTCGAGATGTGCCGCGCGGGTCGAGATGTGGCGAGACGTGAGAGGAGAGCTCGTCGTCTTCTTTTCTCGCTCATCTGTCAGCAGTTCCCGCGGAAAGAGCGCGCGCCAGCTGGCTGTATGGGCATCGTCTCACAACATCGTAAAAAGTACGCGTACTCTCCCAACTCGCGTTTTGATTGGCCGACGAAGGATAGAGGGAAAGGCTGAGCCGACCTGATGCGCCGAGCTGGCGCGGGGCACACATCAGCGACCGCCGCCGCGCCACCGCGCGGACACGGCACGCGCGCGTCCCACACGCGATCGCACCGCGGCGATACCGCATCGAATCTGCCAGGGCTCGAACGCGCGCGCGATGGCGGCCTGCTGCGCGGCGACGGCGACGGCGATGACGACGACGAGCGCCTCGGCGACGACGATCGAGAAGCCCTCATCATCGGCCGCCTCGACGCGCCGCGTCGCGCCGCTGACGCGCGGCGGCGCGCGCGTCAGCGTCTTCTTCGCGACGGCGGCGGCGTCGTCCGCGCGATCGCGCGGAGGACGCCATCGCGCGCGCGCCGGCGCGGGCGCCTCCCTCGTCGTCCTCGCGTCGTCCGACGCGGTGTCCACGGCGATGTCATCAGAGACGATGTCCGCGGACGGCGCGGTCGCGCTGACGCGTAACGGCAAGAAGCGCGTCGTCGTCACCGGCATGGGCTGCGTCACCGCGATGGGCAACGACGTGGACGTCTTCTACGAGAAGCTCCTGAACGGCGAGAGCTCGATAACGCCCATCACGGAGTGGGACGCGCACGAGGACATGGCGACGACCATCGCGGGCGAGATCAAAGGGTTCGACCCGGAGGAGTTCATGACGAAGAAGATGGCGCGCCGCGTGGACCCGTTCATCGCGTATCAGGTGCGTTCTATACACTGGTTCCCATACGACCGCGTTGGCGTGGTGAACGCCGATCCTTAAGGACTTTTGCCGGCGCATCTCTGCGCCCACCCCTCGCGTTCAATCCCCGTCCTCGACGCCTTTCAACTCCAACTGACGCCTATGAACTCCACCCTGACGTCGCTTTGTACGGAACGACCCTCAGATCGTCGCCGCGAAGAAGGCGCTGCAGGCGGCGAAGCTGCCGTTCGCGAAGGGCGACGAGATGGACGCGGCGGTGGACAAGACCCGCGCGGGGTGCCTCATCGGCAGCGCGATGGGAGGGATGCACTCGTTCAGCACCGCGACGGAGGCGCTCGTCACCGTCGGGCACAAAAAGATGAACCCGTTCTGCATCCCGTTCGCCATCACGAACATGGGGAGCGCGCTGACGGCGATGGACTTGGGGTTCATGGGGCCCAACTACTCCATCAGCAGCGCGTGCGCGAGCGGCAACTTTTGCATCCTAAACTCCGTGGATCACATTCGCAACGGCGAGGCGGATCTGATGCTCGCGGGAGCGTCGGACGCGGCGATACTCCCCTCCGGGATGGGCGGCTTCTGCAGCGTCAAGGCGATGAGCAAACGCAACGACGACCCGACGAGGGCGTCGCGGCCGTGGGATAAGGCGCGGGACGGGTTCGTCATGGGCGAGGGCGCGGGGGTTCTGGTGCTCGAGTCCCTGGAGAATGCGCTGAAGAGAGGCGCGCCCGTCTTGTGCGAGGTGCTCGGAGGGAACTACTCGTGCGACGCGCATCACATGACGGAGCCGCACCCGGACGGGAAGGGCGTCGCGCTCGCGATCGACCGCGCGCTGGACGCGTGCGGGCTGGATGCGAAGGACGTCGACTACGTCAACGCGCACGCGACGTCCACGCCCGCGGGGGACATGGCGGAGCTCCGCGTGTTGCAGGAGAAGTTTGGGAAGAACCCGGGGTGAGACTGCTCCCCGTACGACCCCGTTCGCGTGGTGCACGCCGTTCCTTGAGGACTTTTCCCGTCGTCACTCTTCACCCGCGCTTCCCTTTCAACGTTTGACCGGTAAGACGTTCGACTGACCGATCGCTTCACCCACGCAGGTTCAAGATCAACTCCACGAAGGGGATGATCGGGCACTTGCTCGGCGCTGCGAGCGCGGTGGAGGCGGTCGCGTGCGTCAAGGCGATCACCGACGGGTGGGTGCATCCGAACGTCAACCTCGACGACCCGGAGGACGATGTGGACTTGGCGCTGCTCGTCGGGCCGACGAAGGAGCGTCTGGACGTCAAGGTGGCGTTGTCGAACTCGTTCGGGTTCGGAGGTGCGTCCCATCTCGCACTGGTCCCCGTACGACCGCGTTCGCGTGGTGAACGCCGATCCTTAAGGACTTTGCCCGGCGCATCTCTCCGCCCACCCCTCGCTTTCAATCCCCGCCCTCGGCGCCTTTCAACTCCACCTGACGCCTTTCAACTCCACCCCGACGTTCAGGGCACAACAGCGCGGTGCTGTTCGGCGCGTACGAGGGCGGCGGCGGCGGCGGCGGCGCGGGGGGCGGGGGTGAAGGCGGCGGCGAGGGGAGCGAGTTGCGGGAGCTGTGGCGGCGGTTGTTCTGATGGGACCATGAATGGAGGACGACCGACCGGCCCGACGAGGGAACGGAGAGGACGATCGGCGATCGGCAGTTGGCGGTTGGCGGATGCGGCGGCGTTCGGTGTTGCAGGGCTAATAATACTCGAAACGACCACCGGCGCTATCGTCTGCTACAGCACGCGCACAGCACGCGCAAAGTATACTCTATCCCGTCGCCTCCGCGTCCACGCCGATGACGACGTCCTTCCCCAGTAACGACAGCACGGTCACGCGCAACGCGTCGCCCGCTTCGAATCGTCTCACGACCTCCGCCCCGATCTCGTCGAACGCGTTATGAGCGCCATTATTCGTCGCGTCCTCCCCCGCGCGGCTCAGACCGACGTCCTCCTTGCAGTCGCCGGCGTCCGTGAGCAGCGACAGGAACCCGGTCTCGACGTCCACGTCCATGAGCGAGAACGCGCGCTTCGACGTCACCGGGACGTCGATGCCGTGGAACCCCGCGGTCAGGTTGACGGTGTCTTCGTACGTCTTTCGCGTGAAGACATCCTTTCCCTTGACGTGCAGACGCTTGTTCCCGTTCGCGGTCGCCTTCGGGAGGATCTCGCACACGTCGAGCTTGCACGGGTTCCCGCGCACGAAGCAGTACCCGCCTTTCTTCACGGCGTCGGGCTGGACCTTCACGATCCCGCCCTCTTCTTCCGCCATGGGCGGTGGCGTGTGATGACTTGTGAAGCTTCTCGAACAGAAGTTTTCCAGAGTTTGGCTGGAGTTTGGCATCGATCGCGATGAAATGCGAATTTGAGCGGAGATCGATCGATAAAACATTTTGAAAGGAAAAAGTTCACCTCAGGTCGCTGCGTGTCGCTGCGGGGGAACGACCCGCCCCCGCGGCCACTTTCGTTTGACGACCCGCCCCGCGCCACTTCCGCCCGCGCCGCCGCACGCTCGCGACCGCCCGAGGGTGTCATGCACAGCTTTTCTCAGCGCCTTCAGGCTGATCCGCCCGCGCTCGAAGCGCCGGGCGGCGGCGGCCTCGAAGCGCGCGTCAGCGAACTCGAAGAAAGGCGCAAAGCCACGAGGTCGGAACTCGGGCGCAAAGAGGAGGAGCTCGCCGCCGCGAAAGCGACGATCGCGGCGGACGCGGAGATGCACCCGACGTTCGACATGAACGAGCAGCTCGCGAGCGTGGTGTTCTCGCACGTGACGGACGTCCGAACGCGCGTCGCTCTCGCGCAGGTGAACACGGTGTGGCGTGAGGCGTCCAAAGTTTTGCTTTCGCTGCCGCCCTCGCTCGACTTCACGGGGTGTCCGGACAAGTGGAACGAGAAGAACACATGGGAGACGAAGGCGGAATACGTCCTCGGGTTCCAAGGCGTGCTCGATCTTCCCGATGCTCACTTTCACCGCCTTCTCGAAGACGCGGGGGCTGACTTGACCGCTTGGCGTGAGCAAGCAAACCTCGGCTTTTTCTACCATGGGGCGAAGCGGTACGATATGGCGCTTGACTGGTACCACAGAGGAGCACGTCATGGCTGCGGGGGTTGTGAGTATAACATTGGGCAATTCTATAGTGACGGCCACGGCGTGGAGCAAAACATCGACACGGCGCTGGAATGGTACACAAAGTCGGCAGAGAAGGGTTACGCCCCAGCACAACACAACATGGGCGTTATCCACCACGAGAAGGGGCAGCACGAGGAGGCGTTCAAGTGGGTAATGAAAGCGGCCGCTCAAGGCTGCATTCAAGCAGAATATATCATCGGGCAGCTATACGCACATGGCGAAGGCGTGGAGAAAAACATTCCCGAGGCGGTGAAATGGTACACGAAGGCCGCGGAGCAGGGTCACGCCGGTGCACATAACAACGTGGGCAGCATCCACCACGAGAAGGGGCAGCACGAGGAGGCGGTCAAGTGGTTCAAGAAAGCGGCCAATCAAGGCGACGCTAACGGAGAAGCCAACCTCGGATTCTGCTACGAAAATGGCCTCGGCGTGGAGAAGAGCATTCTCGAGGCGATGAAGAGGTACGCGAAGGCCGCGGAGCAGGGCGTCGCGGAGGCGGCGAAAAAAGTCCGCGAGCTCATCCTCGAGAATGTTGTCTGGGAGATCCGTGCTGTGCATTTCTGCGAGTGAGGCGCCGCACGCGTGTTTCGTCGGGCGCGACGGCGGCGACGGCGACTACGACTACGACTACGACTACGACGTACGACTACGACGGGCATCGACGACGAGAGCGACTCGCATTTGTAAAAGTATACGCTAAAAGTACACCCACGGGACGTAGTCAGACCATCCATCGTTCGTGACATCAGAAAATCTCGAACCCGAAGATTGCGCTCGCGATGAGCGCGAATCCGATCGCCACCGCGACGAAGCTGCTGATCGAGCTCACCAAACTCACCGCCTTCGGGTTGTGCTTCTGCAGCGCGCTCGTGCCCGCGCCGAGGCACGCGGTGTACGTGCCCATCGCGACGATGGTGCCGACGAAAAACGTCCCGAGAAACGCGATAGCCTGCAGCCGCGGCAACGCGAACGCCGGGAGCAACAACAGCAACGCGTCCGGTTGCAAGCCGTGGATGGTGCCCGTGAGGTAGGTCCACGAGAGGAAGTTCGCGCCGCCGCGCTGGGGCGCTCCATCGCTCGACGACGACGAGGCGTGCGAGTGCGAGTGCGAGTCCGAGTCCGAGTCCGAGTGCGAGTGCGAGTGCAAGCGCCCGACCTCCCCGTCGTCGTCCTCGTCGCGGCAGTCCACCCTCCCCGCCTCCTCGCCGTTCGCGTGCGAGTGCGCGTACTTCAGCTTCGCGACGACGTCGCCGTCGTCGTGCGAGTGCGAGTGCGAGTGCGCGTGGTCGTCCCCGAACATGTCGCCGCCCAGCCCGAACGGCAGCCCGTGCGAGTGCGAGTGCGAGTGCGAGTGTCCCGACCTCCCCTCCGCCATCTCCCGCGCCTCCCAGAACCCCAACGCGCCGATGGCGATCAACGTAGCGCCGACGATCCCTTGACCCCACTGCCCGATGATCTCCATGTTGAAAGGGAGCTTATCCTTCAGGAGGACGAAGATGAGCCCGAACAGGATCTGCCCGGTGTTGTGCCCCAGCCCCCACAGCGCGCCCATGGCGGCGTTTTTCGCGCGGTTGGGTCCCACGCTCAGAGGCGCCAACGCCGCGAGATGATCTGGACCCGTGAGCGTGTGCAGGCACCCGGCGAGGAGCCCCGCCCACGCGGACTTGAGCGCCAGCGACGCGGCGATGAACTGCGGAGTCGTGAGCGCGACGCCCACCGCGGATCGCAGCGCGAGGCGCGCGGACGGCGCGTAGCACCAGTACCCGCCCGCGCAGCACGCGGCGAAGACGCCGAGCGTCGCTAGGAGCGTCGACTTCCGTAACGGCTGCCTCCCGAACGTTCCCAACAACCGCACGCTGTTGATCGCGACGAGCAGCGTGCTACCCTCGTGCAGAAGCACCGCGAGCCACAGCGGGAACGCGCCGACGAGCGCGGGGAGCGCGCTGCCGAGGATGGACACCACCGCGAGCGTGATGTTTTGTCGCAGCACCGCGCGCGTGCGCGCGGCGAGCTCGAACAGCTCCGGCAGCTGCGAGATCCCATCCGCGTCCGCGTGAAGCAGCAGTACGTCCGCGGCGGCGGCGGCAGCCTCGCTCGGCGTGGTCGCGACCGCGATGCCGACGTCCGCGGCCGCGAGCGCGGGCGCGTCGTTGATGCCGTCGCCGACCATCGCGACGCCCTTTTTCATCCGCGTCTCGTCTCGAATCGCCTCCTCTCTCGCCTCCTCCACGATCCGAAGCTTGTCCCCCGGGGTCAAGCTCGCGTTCACCGCGTTTGGGGGGAGGCCGACGGCGTCCGAGATGGCGCGCGCGCTCTGCTCGTTGTCGCCGGTGAGCATGAGGAGGCGCATGCCGTCGTCGCGCCACTTCCCGGCGGCGAGTTTGGCCACCGAGTCCGCCGCCTTCGGGTGCAGCGAATCCGCGAACCGAAACACGGACGACAACGACGACGCGTCCCAGGTGGTACCGTTTGACCGTAAATCGTCCGCGCCGTAGCCGTTCAACCCGCCGTTCAACTCCGACGACGGGTTCCGGTGCGTCTCGGAGACGACCAGCGTCGCGGTGACGGACCCGCCGACGTTCCCGCCGGCGCCCGCGCGTCGCCGTAAAGCCGCCGCCGTCGCGGGAGCCTCCGCGGCGATGATCTCCGTCGCCCACTCCACCGCACCGAATCTCGCGAGCCTCCCTCCGCCGCCCCCGCCGCCCCCGCCGCCGGGCGAGACGTACCCTTCAACGCCCTTCCCGGCGACGACGCGGAAGTTCGAGACGATCACTTCCGGGACGTCGGGGCCGTGCGCGGAGGCCGTGTCCATCACCGCGCGCGCGATGGGGTGCGTCGCGCCGCGCTCGAGCGCGGCGACGATCGCGAGCGCGGTCAAGTTCCCGCCCGGGCTCGCGTCGATCGTCGTCGTCGTCGTCGTCGTCGTCGTCGCCGTCGCGGCGCTCGTGGACGCCTCGGAGGAGGACCTGAAGCCGCTCCGTTCGAACGCCTCGCGGACGCTTCCCCCGCGCGCGGCGGCGGCGGCCACCGCCTCCACGAGCTCCCCTCGCGCCCGAGGAGTACCCCCCGCGCCTGATCCGTTATTACCCTGATCGGCGCTCTCCCTCTCGATCGCCGCGCACGTCATCACCCCGGTGGTGATCGTCCCCGTCTTATCCAACGCCACCGTCCCGCACTCCGCGAGCGCGTCGAACGTGACGCCGCCGCGCACGAGAACGCCTCTACGCGCGCACGCGCCAACCGCGGCGACGTACACGAGCGGCGACATCAGCAGCGCGCACGGCGCCGCCGCGGAGAGAAACGCGAACGCGCGGTACATCGCCCCCGCGCGTCCGAGGAGCGGCAGGCCCCAGATCAGCGGACCCAAGATCATCGTCGCCGCCGTCACGCCGAGAATCGCCTTGCTGTACCTGTCGCCGAACGTGTCCAGGAGCCGCGACACCGCGGGCCTGCGCGCCTGCGCAGCCTCGGTGAGCCGCGCGATGCGCGCGGGGGTGGAGTCCTCCGCGCTGCGGATGGATCGAACGACGAGCGCGCCGTCGCTGTTGAGCGCCCCCGCGGGGATCTCGTCGCCGACGCGTTTGGTCACGGGCAACGCCTCTCCGGTGATGTGCTGGATGGAGACGAGCGCGCTGCCGTGGACGACGACGCCGTCGAGGGGGACCTGCGTGGACGCGGCGCGGCGTGATCGATGGATGGATGGATGGATAGATGACGTCAGCGCGCGGCGGTCGGATCCGGATCCGGATCCGGCGCGGGAGGGAGGGAAAATCGAGCGCTCGTCGAAATCGAGAAAAATCTTCGACCGTCGTCCTCCGTCGCGGCGGGTGGTTGCCTCCGATGGGTAAACGGCTAAGTTATAAGGATAGCGTCACCGGAGGGGTAATTAATCCCAACTAGGAAGTTTCTGCGAAAGTATCGTCTTCGGCAACCACCACGACGCGCGGCCGGGCCAGACAGAATTCGAAGAGAAGCGTCGAAGCCGAAGAGAACGCCGGACGGAACCGTAGAGCGGAAACCAAAAAATGAATCGAATCGACCGACGCGGGCGCCGTGACCGACGAGTCTTCTCACCTGTTGCCCCGCCTTGACGAACACGTTCGTCCCCACCGTCACGTCCCGCGCGTTCACCGTCCTCGAGCTGTTCACGTCCGGCCCGCTCCCGTCCGCGTTCAGCTCGATCGTCGTCGCCTCACCAGGCACCGTCGCCCACAACTCCTTCAGATCCCCCCTCGCGTGCCGCGTCAGTCGCGTCTCGACAAACGTCGCCGTCGCGAACAACACCAACAACAGTCCACCCTCGAGCGCGCATCCGAGCAGCACGGTCCCGAGCACCGCGAGCGTCGTCAGCACGTGGATGTTGACGTTCCCGACCGCGAGCTCGTACGTGACGTCGACGAATTCGGACGTCCCGGAGAGGACGTAGACGAGCGCCGTCGCCGCCGTCTCAACCGCTAACGTCGTCGACGTCGCCACGCCCAGATGCCCGCACGCGTGCGCGACGCCGCCGACCACGAGCGCGATCCACGACACGACGCACAGCGCCGCGTTGCCGCGCATGACGTCCGCGACGTATCCGATCCTCGTGAAGCGGTACACCGCCGTCAGCGCAGCCTCGATCGCGTTGTGGTCGTAGCTTCCGCCCGGCCCGCGCAGGTTGATCGCGGCGGCGCCTCCGGCGGATGCGGAAGCGTCCGTGTCGAACGTTCCCGTCTCGCTGATGAACGCCGCCTCGTCGAAGGAGCCGTCGACGTCCGAGATCGACGACGCGACGCAGCACGCGTCGTCGGCGCCGTGCGAGCGCGAGCGCGCGTCCTTGTCGCTAGCCTCGCGGAACGACGGGCGGCCTCGCGAGCCGCCTCCGGTCGGGCCGCAACATCCTGGTCGTCGTCGTCGTCGCGAGATGGCCGATCGATCGCGATGGAACGAATCGGGGGGGAGGGCGGGGCGCGTCAGCGGGCGCCGGACGGGGGCGACGACGGAGATGAGGGCGTCCGAGGCGCGCGCGACGGCGCGCGAGGCGTCGCGACGGCGAGCGACGACGAGATGGAGAGCCGCGGCGTCGCGTCGTCGCGGACGATTCGACGGCGACGCGTCGGATGAATTTCTTTCAGGGTTTGGGGATAAGTGATCGATCGGCGTCGCGAATCGACGGCGAGACGCACCGTGGCTGTGTTCGTGAGGGTCCGCGTGCGCTCGCGCCGCGACGGAGACGCGGCACGCTCTCCGTCCGTCGCGCCTCGAGACGCGGATCAACTCCGGGGAGCTCAGCGCGAGCCGAGGGAGGACCGGCGCGCGACGCCTCGCGTCGACGCATCGTCCCGGCGGCTTCGTGAACGAGGACGACGCGAGGACGCGAGATTTCCCCCCCGCGGACGCGCGCGCGGCGACGCGCCGCCCGCCGCCGTCGCGCGCGCCGCCGCCGCCGCCCGGTCGCAACCGGCTCAGGTGTGATGAGGTCGTGAACGACATCGCGCGCGCGCGCCGGCGGTGGTCAACGCACCGCGACGCACCTCGCGCGCTCTCGTCGAGTGCCTCCAAAACCAATCAGCCTCCACGTCTCGACAGATCGATCATTTGGCGTGTGCCGCTCGAGTGCCTTACCGATCGCCGACCGCCGGTCGATCGGCACGGTCGATCGGCACGATTGATCGGCACTGTGCCTTTTTCGTCTTCGATCGGTCGAACGGAAGAAAAAGCGAAAGCGCCTTTTCGCCGCCGCCGCCGACTCGACGCGTTCTTCGCTGCTATTCAAAGAAGACTGACTCTACCTATCGCGCGCGCGCCGCCCACGGCGGTACAGTACCCTCGCGCCGCGCTCTCGTCGCTCGCTCACGTCACGCTATTTTCACCCGCGTGCGGTCGTGCGTGAACCGCGTGAACACGACCATCCAGGTGAATAACGCGCCCACCAAAAGCAACACGAGCCAGGTCCAACATCCCGTCCCTCGTCCTCGCGCGTACGCCGCGCTCTGCCTCCCCACCTCGCGCTTCACGCCGTGGAGGTTCCGAGAGAGCTGATCCTCCGCGGCGTCGAGCTCCGAGCGCGACGCGCGGAGCGACGCCTCCATCGCGAGCGCGTTGGCTTTGACGCCCCCCGCGAGAGACGCGAGCTCATCCGTCAAGCCTTCCTGAAGATCGCGATGCCTCGCGAGCGCCTTCGCGCCGTCCTCGCCGAGCTCGACCGCGAACCCGCCGCGGTCGCGGTCGCGGTCGGACCACCCCTTCCCCCTCCTCGACGCGACGCCGACGTCGTCGCCTCTTCGCCGCCGCGGCGCAGTCGCGGTCGCGGTCGCGGTCGCGGGCGGCGCGTCGCGCGGCTTCCGTCTCCACGGCGCGGGCCCCGAGGCGACGACGGCGCTCGCGGCGCTCGCCGCGCCCGCCGCGCTCGTCATCGCGCAGTACGCCGGGGGCGCGTGCGGGATCACGCGCGCGGCGATCGCGTCGACGCGCTTCGCGTACGCCGCGCCCGCGCTCGCGTCCGCGCTCGTCACCTCGGCGAGGAGCGCGCGCATCGCCTCGAGGTGCTGCGTCGGCTTCGGGCCGCGCCTCCACGCGTCGTCGTCGGGGTCCGCGTCGGGGTCCGCCGCCGCCGCCGCCGCCGCCGCGTCCGCGGCCGCCGCCTTCGTCTCGTAGACGCGCAGGAGCCGCGCGAGGCTGACCTCCTGCGGACGCGGCGACGTCATCGCCGGAGCCCCCGCCGCGCGCGCGTCGCGCACTGACAACTGACTCTGCGTTTGCCGAGTTGATTCCTTGCCGCTCGAGGTGCGTTCGATGCAAACGGTTTTCACCCACCCCGTAGTTTCAACATTTGATCGAGTCCCCTTTCAACTCACCGATTAAAATTTCGCAAGGCACACCATGATGACTTGTTGGCGCGTGTTCAAACTCTACAGAACCAAACTGCCCGTTCGGCGTCGTCGAAGGGCCGCGCGCGCACATCGCGACGCCCGCGACGCGCGACCCTCGCACGCGCTCGAACGCGCGTCGGACGCGTCCGCGAGCGTCCTCGTCCTCGAACGCATCGCGGCTAACGGCGGCGAACGGCGGCGGCGGTCGCGCGCGGTCGCAGACAGATCCGTCCGCCCGCGCGTCGGGGCTCATCGCGAGCGAGACTGAAAAAAACCAGGGGCGACGACGGAGAAAGGGATCGGACCTGATAAATAAAGCGACGACGCGCGCGACGTTCGAACGACGATGGGCGCCAACTACTTCCTCATCCCCGTGGCGATCGTCGCCGCCGCGATCGTCGTCGCGATCAACCTCTACGTTCTCGTGCACTTCCAGCACCCGAACGATCGCAACCAGTCTTATTTCCCGAAGCTCGTCGTCGTCCTCGGCCTGAGGTGCGTTCTATACACTGGTCCCCATACGACCGCGTTGGCGATGTGGACGCCGATCCTTAAGGACTTTTCCCGGCGTCTCTCTCCTCCCACCCCTCGCTTTCAATCCCCGTCCTCGACGCCTTTCAACGCCAACTGACGCCTTTCAACTCCACCCCGACATCGCTTTGTATGGAACGACCCTGAGCCTCGCGACGTGGTCCATCCTGCTGCTCCCTCTGGACGTCGCGAACAACGCGTCGTGCTCCGACGCCGTCATCCGAAGCGAGTGCGACTTCGCGCTCCCGATGGAGGAGCTGTGGTACGCGGTCTACATGAGCATGTTTCTGATGGTGGTGGTGGTCGTGCCGTGGACGTTTTTCTTCTACGAGCAAGAGGAGGAGGACACCACGAGGACGAAGGCGAAGAGCGCGTCGCTGTGGGTCACCGGCGTCGTCGCCGGGCTCGCGATCATCTTAGGGCTGTGCTACGCGTACCTCGGGTTCGTCGAGCTCCCGGTGACGTCGTTGAAGAGCGGGTTCTCGACGCTGGCGGCGGCGCCGATAACGTCGGCGTCGCGGTGCATCATCGCGGACGCCGCGAACGGGATGACGTCCGCGGGGTACGCGTGCGACGCCACCGGCGGCGTGACGACGGAGGAGTGGGAGGTGCGGACGACATTCCCGGTGTACGTCATCGCGATGTCGTCCATCGCGGCGTGGTTTTTGCTCATGGTGTTTGGAGGCGTCGGCATGGCGGCGATTCCGATCGACCTGCTGAAAGCCTACGTCGGGAGGCCGCGGAAGGTGATAACCAAGAGCGAGTACACGCGCATCGCGGGGAAGATCGCGGAGGCGACGAAGGCGGTGATGGTGGAGACGCGTGAGGTCCAGCGGATGGAACGCGGCGCGGGGAAGAGCCGCACGACGCGGAAGAAGCTCGCGCTGATCAACAAAAAGCTCGCGCAGGTGAGACTGCTTCCCATACGACCCCGTTCGCGTGGTGCACGCCGTTCCTTGAGGACTTTTCCCGTCGTCAATCTTCACCCGCGCTTCCCTTTCAACGTTTGACCGGTAAGACGTTCAACTGACCGATCGCTTCACCCACGCAGCTGGAGGACGACGAACTCACGTTGCAAAAGATGTATCCGCAGGGCGAGGACAAGGACGCGACGTGGAGCATGACGGTCATCATGTACCACGTCGCGTTGCTCGGCGGCGTCGTCGCCGCGCTCATCTCCGCGTTCTGGATGCTGCACATCGTGCTGTACATGATGCCGGATCCGCCGGTGAGTTCGTTTTTAAACGAGTTTTTCATCGCGATGGACGAGGCGTGGGGGCTGTTCGGAACCACCGCGTTCGCCACCTTTTGCTTCTACTTGATCCTGTGCGTGATCAAGGGGAACGTCAAGATCGGGTTTCGGCTGTTGCTCTTCAGCGTGTACCCCATGAAGATCGGCGGGACGCTCATGAGCAGCTTGCTGTTCAACGTGAACCTCATCATGCTCTCGAGCATAGCGGTGATTCAATTTTGCGCGCAGGCGTTCGACGGGTACGCGATCGACACCGAGGTCTCGAACATCTTCGGCGGGGAGATTCAGAACTTGAAGGGTCTCGGCGTGCTGTACGAGGATAAGGTGTTCATATACTGCTTCTTCGCGATCGCGTGCGTGTCGTTTTTGTATCTCATTCAGGGCGAGGCGCGCGGCGAAGGCAAGAAGAAGAAGAAGTCGTATCTGAGCGCGAGCGACGACGCGTGACGAGCGAGCGAGCGAGCGACGACGACGGAGGAGGACGCGGCGGCGATTAAAATTTATATACTGTAACCTTCCTCGTGATGACGCACGCGGGCTTCTTCGTTTTAACTAAACTACAAGATGAACCAACCTATCTACTCGTATCCTATATGGTGAGACTACAGTACTTCAAGGGAAGACGTGTCCCGGTCCCGCGTCGTCGTTCCACGCCACGGCGCCCGTCGCTCGGACGCACGAAAACGGCTTCCCGTTGATCGTGCTGTCGCCGTACACCTTCATGTGCCCCCCCCAGTGGTACACGTGCGATCCGTCCACGCTCGCGATGTTATCCTTCATCGTCACGTCCCGCAGCTCGACCTCGCCGTGCCAGTTGCTTATCCCGCCGCCGCGCTCGGCGGCGTTGTTTTCAAAACGGACGCGCGAGAGCTCCGCGCTTCCGAACCACACCGCGAGCGCGCCGCCGTGCTTCGCGTTGCCGTTGACGAGCTTCACCCCGCGCATCACGAGCCTCGCGGGGCCGTACACGTCGAAGATCCCGCTCGCGCCCGCGGCGTCGAGCGCGCACTCGCCGTCGCCGCCGTGGAACGTCGCGTCTTCGCCCGTCGGCGAGCACTTCCCGAAGACGTGCAGCGTTCGCAGCTCGCGAATCGGCGGCAGCGCTTCTCCGGACGCGAGCGCGATGTCCGCGGCGATCCAGATCTCGTTCACGTACGGGTTCTTCATCGCGTCGCGGAGCTCGGTCTCCGTGGTGACCTCCGCGCGTCTGCCCGGTGACGCGAAGTGTGCGGCGTTGCCCGCCTCCGCGCGATCGATGGACCCGTCGGCGTTTGCGTCGAACGGCGCGGTCGGGAAGCGGTACGCGCCGCCCTGCTGGACGTACGCGGAGACGCGCGCGACGGGGAGGAGGAGGAGGAGGAGGAGGAGGAGGATGGGGGGGAGGGGGAGGCGCGCGGCGAGGCGCGGCATCGCGTCGTGGGCGGTCCGTTGTGTGGGCCGCGGCGAGAGAAGCCGCGGGCGCCTGGTGCCTGGCTGGCGCGCTTTTTTTTTTCGTATCGAGTCTTTTTTTTTTCAAGCAGGCACCATGCTCGACGATGACGCGACCGCTGCCGCCTCAAAACTGCTCCGATTGACCTGAAACTTTGTGGAGAGGTTCCTTACATCATGTAGACGATGATCCCGTGGTTAAATGCTTAAAAAAAAGAGAATTGTGCCCTCTGGGAGGATCGAACTCCCGACCTCATCCTTACGAAGGACACGCACTACCACTGTGCTAAGAAGGCTTACACCGTGGGGGGTTCGTTGTGACCGCTTTGACGCGGCACGATTGAGCGAGTTCAATTCTGCCGTGATTCCTGAATCTTAGGAATATCTAGTAACAATCTTTAACGCGTCGTGACGGTTTACACGGGACGATGACTCGTCGACGACGAGTTAAAAAATCGTTTTGGTTTTTGGCCCGTCGCGCGGCGTTAGCGTTACCACCCCCCGCGTCTTCACATCTCTCCGCGCGCGTCGCGGGAGGGCGAGCCTCCGCGAGCGGCGAGCGGCGCGGCGCGGCGCGATACCGCGATCGAGCGCCGCCGCGAGCCCACCGCGCACCGGCCGCGCGCGCGTCGCGAGGGGACCTCACGCCCGCGACGCGACGGAAGATTGATTACTCGGAGTGTCTGAAGACGCGACGCGCGACGAACCCCTCGCGTCGCGTCGCGCCGACGATGCAGTGCCTCCCGTGCATCGGCGGGTCCAAGCGCGCGCGGTCGCGCTCGTTAGACGTCGACCGCGACGACGAGAACGCCGGCGGGTTCGACGCCCTCGAAGACGTCCCGGGGACGCCGGGGACGTCCCCGCGTCCGCCGTCGTCCCCGGACGGACGGACGTCCCCGAGGGCGGGGAAGATTTTCCCGCGCGCGATGTCGTGGGGGTCGCTGTGGGGGAAGTCGCCGAAGAAAGGAAGACGCGCGGGGGACCGACCGCGGTCGGACGACGGCGACGAGGCGATCGTCCTGGACGACATGCTCCTGCAGACGCCGTCGCCGAAGAAGAAGCCGCCGCCGCCGCCGCCGCGGAAGGCAAAGGCGGCGCGCGCAGCATCGGAATATTCCTCCGCATCCGCGACCGCCGCCGCCGCCGCCGACGTCGACGCCGCGACCGCGGCGTCGCTCGCCCCGGAGCCGCCGCCGACGCCGTCGCGATCTTCCGCGGACGACGACGACGACGCGACGAAATCGACGTCGCGGCCGCCGACGCCGCCGGAAGAGGAGCGCGCCGGCGAATCGAAAAAGGACGCGGCGAAGAGACGCAAAGCGCAGAAAAAAGAAGACGCGCGCGTCGCGAAAGCCGCCGCGAAGGAGGCGAAAAAAGCGAGCAGAGACGCGGAGATCGAGACGCGCGAGCTGCGAATGCGCGCGGCGAAAGAGCACGGCGAGCTCGCGCGCGTTCTGGAGGAGAGCAGGCGCGCGGCGAGGGCGTCGTTGCCGATGCGAGGGAGAGCGGATTCGGACGCGACCGCCGCGTGCGTGCTGGTCACGCCGCCGACGCGACGCCGCGGACCTCCGCGCGGCGCGAGGCGCGGCGACGGCGTGACGCGACAGCTGTCGGGCAGCATGGGCGAGGATGGAGAAAAAGTAGAAGCAGTAGAAGAAGAAGAAGAAGAAGAAGAAGAAGAAGAAGAAGAAGCCGCGACGACGAGCGCCGCGGTCGCGGGCACGGGGGAGTGGCTGAGGGTCGAACTGCGAGGGTCGGCGCGGGCGTCGGCGGCGGCCGCCGCGAGGGTTCGCGCGATGGTGTTCTTCGCGTCGCTGGACCAGCGCGGCGCCGGCGGCGACCGCGCGTGCTCGATGTGTTGCATCGCGCTCGCGGAGTGGCTCGAGAATAACCCAGGGCGGCTGCCGACGGAGTCGCTGGATTTGATGGACGAGGAGGAGGAGGAGGAGGAGGGGGAAGAGGGCGCCGGCGAAAACGAAAACGACGCCTCCGACGCGACGACGCCTCCGACGACGCCGAAGAAGAACATCATGGACACGAAACTCCGCGCCGAGCTCGCGAGCCTCGCGATGCGATCCCCGAAGCTCGCGAGCCTCGCGTTGCGATCCATCGAAGAGAACGCCGCGGCGACGCCGCGATCGCCGACGACGCCAGTCAGGGACGCCCCCGCGCCGACGCTCGTGATCGACGGCGTCATCTCCGGCGCCGCGAGAGAGTGGCGCGCGCTGTGCGCGGACGACGCGTTGGCGAGGGCGTTCCCGGACAAGAACTTCGACCTGGACACCGCGGTTCGATCGCACGCGCCGTTCGACGCGCGCGACGCCGCGCGCGCGGCGAGGGCGGGCATCGCGGCGGCTCGGAGGTGCGTTCTATACACTGGTCCCCATACGACCCCGTTGGCGTGGTGAACGCCGATCCTTAAGGACTTTTCCCGGCGCATCTCTCCGCCCATCCCTCGCGTTCAATCCCCGACCGCGACGCCTTTAAACTCCACCTGACGCCTTTGAACTCCACCCCGCCATCGCTTTGTATGGAACGACCCTGAGGGACGGGCACTGGACCAACGCGGACGTCGACTCGAGCGCGGTCGCGCCGCGGGCCCGCGCTTCCCTCCACCCGCGGCGCGTCGCGATCGACCACGCGGAGAGCTTCGTCGGGTTCTTGCGACTCCCCGACGTCGAGCCCGGGGAGTGCCCGACGCTCGACGCGTTCGCGGAGGCGGCGCCGCCGCTGCGGGACATCGTCGCTTCGCTCGCGGCGTCGGCGCGAGGCGGCGGCGGCGCCACGTTCGTGGTGTCGTGGAGCGACCACTTCTTCCTCGTGCGGTTCGTTCGCGAGCCGACGCGCGCGGGACCGCCGGGGTGGGACCGCGCGATGCCGCCTGAGATGAACGCGGCGGCGGCCGCGGGGGAAGAAGCGGGGGAAAAAGACGCGGCGGATGAAGAAGACGCCGACGTCGTCGACACGGAGCTCGTCGTTTACGTCGTCGACAGCCTCGGCGAGCGCCTGTGCGAGGGGTGCAAACGCGGATACGTCCTGCGATTCGACGGCGAGTCCGGGTCTGGCGACGCCGCAGAGGCCGCGGCGACGTTCATCGGAGAGATTCTTCCGAGCCGACTGCTGGCGCATCTCTCCGCGGAGGTGAAGGGGAAAGACGGAGGGGACGTCGCGCCCGAGCGACTCATGCGCGCGTTGCAGATCGAGTTTCACAGGGTGGTTCCCTCCTAGCTAGCTAGCGGGAGAGGAGGTAGACGGGTTCGTTCACAGACTAGTAGGTATTTATGTGCACGTATTTAGAGACTATCGCTCGCGAGAAGGAAAAGAAACGGCTCGAATTGTTGCGTTTCGCGGTTCCGCGGCGGTCGGCGCCTTCGCGGCCAGAAAATCTGCCGGGAAACCGCGACAGATGCGAATCTTTCCCGTCGTCCAAGCAGAAGGAGCGGTCTCCGACTTTCCGTGACGGAAGATAGACCGTCGACGGTTGACCGCTCGCACTTCGCGGGCGCGCCTCGAACGCGCGTCGACTCGCGACCGGGACATCGCGCGAACGCGCTCGCGACCGCGCGTCGCATCGGACGCGGCGTCGTGTGTCCTCCGCACGTGTGGCGTCGCTCCGCTCGCGTCGCCGGCCGCTCGCGCTCATCTTCCTTCAGGAAAAAATCTCCGCGGCGGACGCGCCATGGCGCTCGGTTCCGCCGCGCCGCGTCGCGACCGCGCGAGCGTCCTCGTCGTGAACGACGACGGCATCGACGCCCCCGGGATCCTCGCGCTCGTTCGCGCGCTCGCGAACTGCGGGACCTTCGACGTCTACGTCGCCGCGCCGGACGCCGAGCGCAGCGCGTGCGCGCCCGCCCGTCCCGTCGTTTCCCGTCCCGTCGGGCGGTGCCAACGCAACTTAACGAAACTTCGAAACGAAACGAAACTCACAGTACTACGTATGTCTCGCTGACGCGTCTCGTCCCATCCCGACTGATGAATCATCTTCAGGTGCTCGCACTGCATATCGATCCACGCCCCGCTCGCGGTCGAGCCTCGATCGATCCCCGGCGCGATCGCCGCCTACGCGGTGAGCGGCACCCCCGCGGACTGCGCGATGCTCGCGACGGGCGCGCTCTTCCCGTCGATTCGATTCGACTTCGTCGTCAGCGGCGTCAACCGCGGGGATAACTTGGGACGCCACGTGATATACAGCGGCACGGTCGCGGGCGCGAGGGAGGGCGCGATGAAGACGGGCGGCGTCGGCGTCGCGGTGTCGCTGTGTTCGTACAGCCGCGACGCGGATTACTCGGACGCCGCGAGCGTCGCGGCGGAGACTTTGACGGCGGTGAGACTGCTTCCCATACGACCCCGTTCGCGTGGTGAACGCCGTTCCTTGAGGACCTTTCCCGTCGACACTCTTCACCCGCGCTTCCCTTTCAACGTTTGACCGGTAAGACGTTCGACTGACCCACGCGTTCACCCACGTCAAGGTGCGGTCGACGCTCGGGGTGTACGGCGCGCTCGCGGGGAAAGTTTTGAACGTGAACGTCCCTCACCGCGGCGACGGCAACTCGGGGGGCGGTTCAGGGATCAAGGGCGTGAAGCTGACGCGGCCGGGGTTCAGCTGCACGCAGCCGGACTGGGTGAGAGTCTCGAGTCCGGGGGAGGACGCGGAGGTCGCCGCGGCGGCGCCCGCGCCGCCAAAGTCGGACGACGCGTACGGCGCGGGGGTCGTGCCGTCGGTCGTCGTTGCTAACGATGAAACGCACGAAAACGGGGCGTTAGTATCAGATACTGGCGGCGACGCGGCGTGGACGAAGGGCGTGAGGTGGTTCCGTAACCGTCCGGGACCGCACACGAGAGACGACGGCGACGGGACGGATCAACGCGCGATAGACGACGGATACGTTTCCGTGTCCATACTGTCGTGCGAGTTCGAGAGCAGCGACGGCGGGTTCGAGGGCGGGCGCGAGAGCGCGTGGGCCACGGGGAGCGACGCGGGCGAGGTGCTGCGGGGGTACAGGGACGCGCGGTGCATCGGCGGCGGGGCGTGAATAATTGTATTTATTTATTTTTTATTTATTTTTCTACGTCGCCGGCGGCCGAAACGCGCCGCCGAGACCCCCACCTCTCTGTGCTCCGTTCGACGCGAAACTTCGCGAGGGCGTTCCCCGCGACGTTTGCGTGCGCGCGAACGCAAAAAAATCGACTGCAATCCGTTGCTCTACCACTGAGCTAAATGCCCACACGCGAAGAGAGGGCACTACCGGAATTGAACCAGTGACCTACGGAGATCTGCGATCCACGAGGGATTCGAACCCGAGTCCTCACCGATCAACACGGTTTGGATGTCCTCGGGGGATTGAGACGTTGAAACATGTCCCGGAATGAGAATTTTGGGAATAGATAGCAATCGACATAAATTACGTTTCAGGACGCGCGCGACCGAGGCGTGGGTCAATTTCATCGAAGAGCGGCGGCGGGGGCCTTTCGGGACAAAAATTGACCGAGGGTCGAAACCGTGCGCGGTCGTGTCTTGGGTCGCGGCTTTCGGACGCGACCGAGGAAAAAGTTTTCGCCGTCGTGGCTTTTCTCACTTCCTCTCGCGCGCCGCCACGCCGCGTCTCGCGCGCATCGAACATGCCGAAGAAGAGACAAACGCGACCTGGCAAGCCGTTCATCGAGTGGTGCGCGGAGAACGGGAAGCGCGGCGAGAGGCTCGCCAACGAGTTCCGCGAGGAGCTGCCGACGGAGCTGACGTTTGCGTCGAACTACAAGGCGAAGTGGAAGTGTTTGAAGTGCAAGCACGTGTGGCGGGCGCAGGTGTGCAACCGCACGAAGAGCGACAGACCCAGCGGGTGTCCGAAGTGCTGTCTTTCGAGAGGTCAAGGGTGCCAAACGGTGGTGTCCCGAACGAACAACTTCCTCGCGTGGTGCGAGAAGAACGGCGAGCTCGGGAAGAAGCTGTCGCGCGAGTACGTCGACAAGGACAAGCCGCCGACGGCGGTGACGAAGGCGTCGATGTACAAGGCGCTGTGGAAGTGCAGCAACGTCGAGTGCAAGCACGTGTGGCGGACGCAGGTGTGCAACCGCACGAGGAGCAACAGACCCGGCGGGTGTCCGATGTGTGCGAATAATGCGCCGGCGAGCAAGACGAACAACTTCCTCGCGTGGTGCGAGAAGAACGGTGAGCTCGGGAAGAAGCTGTCGCGCGAGTACGTCGACAAGGACAAGCCGCCGACGGCGGTGACGAAGGCGTCGATGTACAAGGCGCTGTGGAAGTGCAGCAACGTCGAGTGCAAGCACGTGTGGCGGGCGGAGATGTGCAACCGCACGAGGAGCAACAGACCCAACGGGTGTCCGGAGTGCGCGAATCACAGACCGCTGAGCAAGACGAACAACTTCCTCGCGTGGTGCGAGAAGAACGGCGAGCTCGGGAAGAAGCTGTCGCGCGAGTACGTCGACAAGGACAAGCCGCCGACGGAGCTGACGTTTGCGTCGCACTACAAGGCGAAGTGGAAGTGTTTGACGTGCAAGCACGTGTGGCGCGCGGGGGTGTCGAGCCGCACGAACAACGTCAAACCCACCGGGTGTCCGAAGTGCAACCTTGTCGGAGGATCTCAAAGCGAGAAGCGTAAGCGCGACGACTAAACGCGACGCGACGTGCCGGAGAAAGACGCCGCGGCGGAACTCCCGCCGCCACTTTACGCCAGACTACTCTAGCTAGACTTCTACGTTTCTACTCGTCTAAGGTGACCTCCCACAGCTCGAGCTCGCCGCCGCGCTCGTACATCACGCGCTGCTGGACGTCGAACGGATCGATCCTCCGCGCTCTGAACGCGGACGCGGTCGTCCTTCTATCCGACACAGCGTCCGACACATTATCCGACACAGCGTCCGACACATTATCCGACACCGCGTCCGACGTTATCCTCGAAGCCTCCGGGACGTCCGCAGCCGCCGCGAACGACGCCGCGTCCGGGGCGAGTCCGAGGTGCGACAGAAACCGCTCGTGCCAGAAAGTTTCACACAAAAGAATCCGAAACCGAAACCGACACAGATAAAAGAGGTCGGGAGTTCGCACCCCACAGTAGGCAGGCGCACGATGCGCGCGCTCGCGTCCGCGTCTCGCGTCGTGAGCGCGCTCACCGCGCGCGGGTCCACGACGGGATCGATCGCCGCCGCGGTCGCGACGTCGCTCGAGCCCGCGACGACGACGCGCGCGGGCGGACGAGGCGTCGCGTCGCCGCGCGACCGATCGGGACGGACGGGTGCCCGATGCCTGTCGCGCGGCGGCGTCGCCGTCGCTCGAACCTTCGCCGCGACGCGCTCGACGCCGCGCGGATGGAGCGACGACCACGACGGCGGCGCGCGCGCGGACGACGCGGCGTTCGCGTCGCCGCCGCCGCGCAGACCGCACCGTCGCGTCGTCGTCACCGGCGTCGGCCTCGCGACGCCGCTCGGCGTCGGGAGAGATCTCGTCTGGGACGGGCTCGTCGCCGGTCGCTCGGGCGTGCGCGCGCTGCGGCGCGAGGACATCGCGGAGGGGGAGCGAGGGTGGGCGCAGATGACCGTGCGCGTCGGCGCGCGCGTCCCGCGCGGGACGCGACCGGGCGAGTTCGACGAGAAGCGATGGTGCGACGGCGAGCTGAAGGGCGTCGCGGGGTCGGGATCGGATGAATCCACGACGATACGCCCCGCCGTCGGCGGCGGGCCCCGCATCGCGCCGTTCACCGGCCTCGCCCTCGCCGCCGCCGCGGAAGCGCTCGCCGACGCGGGATGGGACGCGTCGCGCGTCACGGACGAGCAGCGAAACCGCGCGGGCGTCGCCATCGGCGCCGGGATGGGCCACGTCGCGGACCTCGTCAACGCGGGCGCGTTGCTCGAACGCGGGAAACTGAGGTGCGTTCTATCTTACACTGGTTCCCATACGACCGCGTTGGCGTGGTGAACGCCGATCCTTAAGGACTTTTCCCGTCGTGTCTCTCCGCCCACGCCTCGGTTTCAATCCCCGTCCTCGATGCCTTTGAACTCCACCTGACGCCTTTGAACTCCACCACGACGTTCGCTCGTATGGAACGACCCTCGTCAGACGCGTCTCCCCGTTTTTCGTGCCGCGCATCCTGGTCAACATGGCCGCGGGGCACGTGAGCATGGCGCACGGGCTCAGAGGGCCGAACCACGCGGCGGCGACCGCGTGCGCGACGGGCGCGCACGCGATAGGCGACGCGTTTCGGGCGGTGCAGAGAGGCGACGCGGACGTGATGGTGGCGGGCGGGACGGAGAGCTGCGTCGACCCGGTGTCGTACGTCGGGTTCGCGCGCGCGCGCGCGCTCGCGGACCCGGCGGCGATGACGCCGCGCGCTTCAAAGACGAAGAAGAAGGATAAGGATATATATAACGGCAGCGGAGAAGACGTCACCGAAGGCTGTACAGACGATGTCGACCCGAGCACGGCGTGCCGGCCGTTCGACGCGACGCGAGCGGGGTTCGTCATGGGCGAGGGCGCGGGCGTGTTGGTGTTGGAATCACTCGAGTCGGCGCGCCGACGCGGCGCGATCCCCTACGCGGAGATACGCGGCTACGGCCAAGCCTCGGACGCGCACCACATCACGCAGCCACCATCCGACGGCGCGGGAGCGTCGCGCGCGATGCGCGCGGCGCTGGAAGACGGCGGCGTGCGGCCCGAAGACGTCGGGTACGTCAACGCGCACGCCACCGGCACCGTCGTCGGCGACGCCGCCGAGTCGCGCGCTTTAGCGACCGTCTTCCAGGAGCGGTACCTCCGCGGCGAGCTCTCCGTGTCTTCCACGAAAGGCGCGACCGGGCATCTGCTCGGCGCCGCGGGCGCGGTCGAGGCTGCGTTCGCGGTGTTGGCGCTCAGCACGAAGACGCTGCCGCCGACGTTGCATCTGGAGACGCCGTGTCCGAACGCGGCGCCGGCGGGCGCGGATCTCGTGCCTCTGATCGCGCGCGTCAAGCCGGGGCTGAGGGCGGCGATGACGAACTCGTTCGGGTTCGGGGGGACGAACGCGTCGCTGGTGTTCACGTCGCCGCCGGGGAGGGGTGGGGACGCGGAGTAGAGTAGGAGGATAGATAGTCACGCGTCATCTGTGAGGGTATTCTAAAAGCGTTTTTCTACTACCTGTACAGTATGGTACCGCGCTCGCTCGATCGCTCAGCTCTCGCTGTCTACTTCGTCGCCGAAGTCGTCGTACTCCCCGTCGCTCATCTCCACCTCCGGGTACGCCACGAACGTCACCGGGACGACGTAACTCGCGGGCGCGCGCGGCGTCGCGCTCTGCGTGGGCGTCCCTCGACTCCCGGGCCCGCCGCCCGTCGCCGTCCCTCCGAATCCTCCCCCCCCTCCTCCTCCTCCAAAGTGCGGGATCGCGCGCGATAACCTCACCAGATGCACCACCTTCAGCATCCCGCCCTCGCCGATCGCGACGCGCGTCATCGTCGGCGCGTCGACGCCGTCGCCGCCCCCGCGGTCGTGCGTCGGTCCCAACAGCGCGCCGGGCAGCGCCGTCGCCGCCTTCGCGAACGCGTGCCGATACAGCCATCGCCCGTTCACGCCGCACGCGAACTCGGTCAGCCCGCGCCCGTCGCGCGCGTCGACGTCGACGCGAAGCTCGCCGATCTCCTGCCCCGCCGCGGAGAACGTCAGGACGTTCGGGTCGGATGACATCTCGATCGCCATGGGCGCGTTCGGCCACTCCAGATCGTCGACGATCTCTTTCAGGCCGTGCGCGGGGAGCGTGAACGCGTTCGTCTCGCCGCGGAACACGATGTCGCCGCCGCCCGGGCCCCCGCCGTCGTCGCGCTCCGTCGCCGCGACGGCCGCGTGCGTGCACGACTGCAGAGGCCGCTCCGGGTTCCCGCGCTCGACGTGCGCGGCGAGGACGAGGCGTCCGTCGCGGTCGGGCCATCGCAGCGACAGCTCAGCCTCGCCGTCCATCGGCGCGAAGACGCTGAGGACGTCGATGAGCGACCCGAGGGCGATCCCGAACGAGCCCGCGAAGGACGTCGCGCCCGTGCCTCCGGGGCCTTGCGTGCCCCCCGCCGCGGACGCGTTCACGCGGAAGCGCGAGAAGACCTCCGCGCGGAAGTTGGCCTGCGCTTGGAGCGATTTCGAGTCGTCCACCGCGACGAACGTCACGCCTCGCTCGCTGACGCTCACGTTGACGTGCTGCTTCTTCGAGAGTTTCACGACGGAGAGGACGTTGAGGAAGTTGCGGATGTGCTCCACGCGCGCGTCGAGGACGAAGTCGTCCATGACCGCGGCGTGGACCGCGCGCGCGCGCGGGGAACGACTGCGACCACGCTTCGCCATTCGAGATCTCAAGTTGGCACCCTCGGCTCAGCAGAGCGCGGTGACAGCTGTGTGTTTTTCCGCGCGTCGAGAGCGCTGTCGTTCGATGGCGTTTCATTACAAAGTGTGCGCGCGCGTGCGCGTGTGTGTGCTGTTCGAGCAGAGCTGTCCTAGTCCTCGTCCTCCTCCCACTCCCCCATGAGATCGAGCGCACTGAATGCGGGCTCGTATCCCTTGTTCGCCGCCTTCCGGTACCACGCGACGGCGTCGACGCGGTTTTCCTCCACGCCGCAACCGCAGTGGTAACAACCCCCGACCATGTACTCAGCTTTGGTGTGACCCTTCGCCGCAGCCTTCTGAAGCCATCTAAACCCTTTAACCTCCTCGTCGCTGTTATTTGCCATATCCAGATCTTCACCAATGTACCAGAGCCCGGCCATGTACTCAGCCTCGGTGTGTCCGCGCTCTGCCGCCTTTTCGTACCACGCGAGGGCTTGGACATACGTTCCTTCAAGCCGCCCCGATCGAGTATAGAAGTCTTCGAACACCTCTTCGAACGAACCACCTACGAAGAAATCATCTTCGTAGCACTTTTTGTGGAAGCATAATCCCACACAAAGCGCGGCATCGACGCTGCCCCGAGCGGCCGCCTGTTTCCACCATTCTATCGCCTCCTGGAAGCACGTGCGTTCGAACAAACGAGCGCGAGCGGTTTCATCATCATCGAAATCGTAGCGCTCTTCTGCCAGATCCGCGTCCCTCCTCGCTCTTTCCTGACACCTCAGCGCGAGCGCGCGCAGCCCGTCGACGTCCGGCAGCGAATTATGCTGCTTCGAAGCCTCCAGCCACACTTTACTCACGACCGACAGCCTGTGGCGGTCGACAGGATCAGTGATACGCGTGAAGACGAGCGACGCAATGTCCGCGGAGACGTCGACAAACGGTCCCGCGCGCTCCGGTGGAAATACCGTGTTCAGGTGTTCCTTCGTCTCGGCGAGCGCTCTCTCGAGCGCTCGTATCCGGTTGTCCTTTCGGATCCGTTCGTAATTCAAGTCGTCGCAAGCCTCCCTTTCACAGTTAAGCATCTCGTCGAGCTCGTCACGAGTTTCCTCCGTCGTCTTCAACTTTTCCTCTGTCGTCTTCAACTTTTCCTCGTTGTCCTCCAACTTCTTCCTCGTCGCGTGCAGTTCGCCCTCCAGGTGCTCCACGTGCTTCTTCGTCGTCGCCATCTCCGCCGCCGCCACTGTCGCCGTGTCGTTCAGAACCTTCACTTGCTCCTCCAACGCGTCAATGCGGTCCAGCGACTCGTCCAAAAAATCCTCCTTACCTCGCACCTCGCTCCTCCAGTGTTCCTCCAAGCGCTTCGCTTCCTTCGCTTTCGCTTCAGTGTTCCGAAGCTTGGTCTTCAAGGCCGCGGTTTCGCTCACGAGACGCTCCGTGTCCGGCGGCGCGATGAAGGCCTGCACGAAGCGAGGGCGCTGAGAACCCGCGTCCTCCATGAGCGCGCGCGGCGGCGGGGCGGGGGCGCGGCGGAGAGTGGCGCTTTTTCTAGGGTTACAGATTTAAAAACCGCGAGCGGCTTTTCTGCACTCCCGTCCGCACGCGCGACGCGCGCGCCGCCGACCGCCCTCGACGCGCGCGATGTACGCCGCCGCCCCCGCCGCTCCGCGCGGAGGCGGCGGCGGCGGCGCGACCGGCGATCGCCGCCGCGCGCGACCCGAATCGCGCGGGGGCGCTTTCCACCGCCCGCGCGACCGCGCCGAGCGGTCCGACGACGACGACGACGACGACGATGACGAGCGCGACGGCGACGCGCGCGGCGGTCCGGAGCTGGAGTACGACCCGCGCGCGGTCGTCTTCATGTCCGTCCTCGCGGACGCGTCGCGGTTCGGCGCCGCGGTGTTCGACCGCGACGGCAACGTCTGCGAGTGCACGGAGGCGCGTCCTCCGCGCGCGCGTCGCCCGTCTCTCTTCTCTCGCGCCTTTTTCTTTTCTCTCTGCTCTCTCGCGCGCGCTGACGCCGCCCCTCCGCGCAGGGCCACGCGGACGCGGAGTTCGCGCTGCTGCAGCTCATCCTCATCTCGCACGACCCCGAGGTCGTGTTTGTCCCCGCGCGGAGCCGCTCGAAGCACCACGACGCGCTTTTGGAGTGCCTTCGAACCACCGGCGGCGGCGGCGGCGGCGACGACGACGACGACGACGACGCACAGCTGTGCGCCCGCGACGACGACGCCGGCGGCGGCGCGAACCCGAACCCGAACCCGAACCCGAACCGACCGCGCGACCACCTGCCCCCCCGCCGCCGCGGCCGCCGCCGCGTCGTCGCCCTCCCCGCCGCCGCGTTCTTCGACTCGTTTGATCTCGCGCTCGCGACGCTCCGCGAGGCGTGCGAGCTGCCGTCGTCGCGAGCGGTCGCGGCGAAAATTTCCCTCGAGTGCGAGCGGCAGGTCCGCGCCGCGGGGGCGCTGCTCGGGGTTCTGCGGCGCGACGGCGTCATCCTGAACGGCGACGGCGACGGCGCGGACCCTGGAGGCGGCGGTGGCGGCGGCGGCGGCGGCGGCGGCGGCGGAATCACCGTCGTCGCGCGCGGCAAAAGCTGGGTCGTCGGCGACCACGCGCCCTCCGACCCCATCGCCCTCCGCGAGCTATCCACGCGCGCCTACCTCCGCGTGGACGACGTCAGCCAGGCCGCGCTCGGGCTCTTCACCCCGGAGTCGCACCCGTCGCGGTTCGTGGGATGCGCGAAGGAGTGGGGCGTCTTCGCGCTCCTCAACGACTGCGTCACGCCGCCCGGAAAGCGTCTCCTTCGCGCGTGGTTCCAACGCCCGCTGCTCAATCGAGACGTCATCGAAGAACGCCTGGACGCGATCGAGCACTTCACGCGGACGCGCGGGGGCCAGGCCGCGGCCGAGGCGCTCCGCGGCGTCATGCGCGGCGGGCACGACGCGTGCGCGGTGCTCGCGACGATGACGGCGCGCGCGAACGCGGCGACGCGGACGCTTCGCGAGTGGCGGCGGCTGGTTGCGTTTTTGAACGTCGTCCTCGCTCTCGCGGACGTCGCGTTGGACGCGTACGTCGTCGCGGACGCGGGCGCGGGCGCGGCGGCGGGCCTCGGAAGGGAAAGGAGAGGCGGCGGCGGCCGCGGCGGCGGCGGAGATGGAGATGGAGACGGGGACGGGGACGGGTTCGCGTTCGCGCGCGGGACGCCGGTCGCGCTGAAAGCGCTGATCGACGCCTGCCTCGGCGGCGGGTTGCGTGAGCTCCTCGATTTGATTCGTGCCGTCGTCGATTTCGACGGCGGCGACCGCGACCGCGACCGCGACCGCGACCGCGACCGGCGACGCGGCGGACGCGACCGACGATCGACGTGCGTGCGATCCAGTGACGTGGACGGTGACGCGTCGCACGCCCCACCGCTCCCGCGTCGCCGCCGCGTCGTCCACCCCGGCGTGTGCCGCGAGCTCGACGACGCGATGCGTCTCTACCACGGCCTCCCGGATTTGCTCTCGCGCGTCGCCGCCGCGGAGGCGTCGCGGGTGCCGTCGTTTCTCCGCGGCCGCGGCGTCGAGGACAACCTCCACGTCGTCTACCTTCCCAGGGTCGGGTACGCGGTGCGAATAGACGGCAGCACGCTCCCGCCGGACATCGCGGACGAGCTGCGCGACTTTGAGTTCGCGTTCGACGACGAGAACGCGACGGAGGGGACGTACCACGCGTATTATTTCACGAAGGCGCGTCCTGGTCATCACACTGGCCCTCATACGACCTCGTTGGCGGGGTGCACGCCGATCCTTAAGGACTATCGGTAGCGTTTATCTCCGCTCACCCCTCGCTTTCAATCTCCGACCTCGACGCCTTTCAACTCCATCTGACGCCTTTGAACTCCACCCCGCCGAACGCCCCTCAGACGACAAAGGAGCTGGACGTCGAGCTCGGCGACGTCCTCTCGCGCGTCTCCGACCTCGAAGCCGCGGTGCTTCGCGACCTCAGACGCCGCGTCCTGTCCAGCGCGCCATCGATTCGCGACGCGTCTCGGTGCGTCGCGGAGGTGGACTGCCTCCTGTCGCTGTCGCGCGCCGCGGTCGCGTTCGGGCTGCGGCGCCCGGCGTTGACGAACGAGAGTCGCCTCTCGATCGTCGGCGGCCGGCATCTTCTTCAGGAAGCCGCGAGCGGCGATCGACGCGCCTCGATCCCGAACGACGCGGTCGTGCCGCCGAACGGCGGGCGCGTGACGGTCGTGACCGGCCCGACGATGAGCGGGAAGTCCGTGTACATCAAGTCGATCGCGATCATCGCGTTTCTGGCGCACGTGGGGTCGTTCGTCCCCGCGGAGTCCGCCGTCGTCGGCGTCGTCGATCGCATTTTCACGCGGGTGATGTCGCACGATTCGATCGCGCAGCGCGTGGGGCAGTCCTCGTTCGCGCGCGATCTGAGCCAGATCTCGCTGATGATCAACAACGCGACGCCGCGGTCGCTGTGCATCGTGGACGAGTTCGGGAAGGGCACGAAAACGGCCGACGGCGTGGGGTTACTCGGGGGATTTTTGAGAGCGGTGTCGGAGATTCCAGAGCCGCCGATCGTCTTCGCGGCGACGCACTTCAGCGACGTCACCGACGACGCGTTCGTCCCCAGGAACGCGAACATGAACTACCTCACGATGAGCGTGTACGCGTCAGAGGTGGAGAATGAGCCACGTGGACGGGGATATGACGTGGCTGGTGACGTGGCAGGCGACGCGTCGTATCGCCCGCCGGAGATCACGTTTCTGTACAAAGCCGTCCCGGGCGTCTCCACGCGCGCGTACAGCGCGAGGTGCGCGCGCGAAGCCGGGCTCCCGCGCGTCGTCCTCGAGCGCATCGAGGAGCTCGACGCGATCGACCGCGAGAACGATGCGAACCGTCGCGGTGACGCGAACCGTCGCGGTCGCGGTCGCGAGGTCGTGGAGATAAAACCCGCGGCGATGTCGCGCGCGTCGGACTCGGAGAGGGCGAAGAGGGAAACGTGCGTCGAGAGGCTCGCGCGCGTGAACCTCGACGATCCGGGCGAGGTCGCGGCGTTCGTGAAAATTTGCGCGGCGGGCGGGTGAGTATCCGTATGTTTATATGAACGTGCGTGGTGTGTGTGTGTGTGCGTGGTGTGTGTGTATGTGTGTACAACGTAACGTCATAGCGTGTGCATCGTGTCGTCTGCGCGCGCGCATGCAAGTCTCACGGTCCGAAAGCCTCCAGAACGTCCTCCCAAAATTTGACTCTCCACCCGCGCGGCATCATGGTGACCGCCCGCGGGCAGGTTTCTTTGTGCGGCGGATCCCCGCGGTTCCAGTCGCGCTGCTGGCACCGCTTGTTACATTACCGCACGCTGCGGCACAGCTTGCACGTCTCGTACGCGCGAGCCTTCCCGCACGCGACGCACGCGCGCAGCTTCTCGAGCTCTTCCGCCGCGGCCGCGTCGTCGGGGTCTCGCTCGACGACGAGCTTGAACCAATCTTTCGCCAATCGGAGGTTTCTCTCCACGCCGCGACTGCCGTGGAGGAAGCACAGCGCGAGATCGTGCTCGTTATCGTCTGCGGTGACGTCGTCAGGAACGCTAGCCAGGTACGTGTGCACGGCGTCGTCGCTCAACGTCAAACCAGACTTCTTCAACGCGTATTCAAGGTTAAACTCCCTCTGCCGAAAATAAGCTTATTTCTTCGCACCTTCGTGCCCCCTTTCGGCGGCTTTTTGCCACCACTCCCGCGCCTTCAATAAGTTTCGCGGCACACCTTTGCCGTCGTGGTAGAGCGTCCCGATGTTGCACATGGCTTCCGCGTAGCCTTGCGCCGCGCTTTTCTCCAACCACTTCATCGCTTCTTCGTGTTCGTGCATCTCTTTGGAGAGTAAAAGCCCGTAGTTGTTTTGGGCGTCACCGCACCCTTTCTTCGCGGCTCTCAAGAGAAACTCCACCGCCTTCGGTATGTTTCGCTCGACGCCGTGGCCTTTCTCGTAGTATACCCCGAGGTTGGCCTCGGCAATAGGGTGACCCTGCGCCGCGGATTTCTCGAACCATTCACGCGCGACTTCGTATTCCCCTGCGTCGTAATGAATGACGCCAAGGTCGCACTGCGCGTGAAAGTTCCCCAGCTCCGCGCCCCTCTCGAGCCAGTGACGTGCGAGCTCGTCGTTTTTCTCCACGCCGCCGGTCCCTCTGCGGTAGTGCAAGGAGAGATCCCACGCCGCATCTCCAGACCCGGCGTTCGCCTTCTTCACGAGGTCGCGGACATTCCGCGGCAGCTTGATCTTCGGCATCTTCTGCGATCATATCGCAGGCGGCGGCGGGAGAAGTGGAAGCCGCGGCGACGTCGTCGTTGTTTTTGCCGCGAACCTCCTGTCCCGTTCAAACAGCGAGAAAGTTTCAAAAAGTCTAGCGGCTGAGTCACGCGCGTCGCCGCCCCTCCGTCCGCGTCACAGCGGCCAGACCGCACCGCGCGCGCGATATCCTCGACGCCCCGTCGGAGTCGAGGCGCATCGCTCGAGCGCGCGGGGACGCGTCGAACGCGACGCGGCGGCGCGGCGGCGCGCGAAGGCGTCCGTCCCGATCCCTCGCGCGACCTACCGGTAAAAGTTGACGGCACCCGCGCCGCCCGCGCATCCTCTCCGCCGGGATCTGACCCCGCGCGCGCGCGATGATGTCGTCCACGACCGCGAGCGACTCGCGCGGCTCCGCCGCGATCTTCCTCGCCGGCGGCCTCCTCGGGATGGCGGTCGCGGGCAGCACCGCGCTCGCGCTCGCGCGACGCTCCGCGTCGATGACGACGACGACGACGACGACCTCGACCTCGACCACCTCGACGCGCGTCGCCGCCGCGCCGGACGCCACCGCGTCGCCGCCGCCCGCGCGCCGCCGCCACGCCCGCGACCACCACAAGCCGCACCGAGAGAGGCAGCGCAAGCAGTCGAACGTCGAGGTCGAGCCCCTGCACGAGGTCCCGATGGAGTCGTCCAGCGACGACGACGACGACGCGACGACGACGACGACGCCGACGCAGACGCAGCCGATGCCGTCGCGGTCGTCGGCGGGGGGCTCGGGCTCCGGCGGCGTCGTGACGCTCGACGCGGACGTCACGTCCGGGAACGACGACGACACCTCGGACGCGGAGCGCGACGGCGCCGGGTACGACAGCACCGGGATGCGCCCGTCGCCGTCGTCGAAGACGCATCACCAGCATCACCGGCACCGTCGCCGCGGCAGCGCGGATTTATTACTGGCGCAGGGAGAGCAGGACGCGCGCGGGATCTCGCGGACGGGCGGGGATAACGATAAGGGGAAGGGCGACCACGACGGCGCGATCCCGCGGTACACGCCCGGGAACAGGGCGACGAAGAAGGCGTGGACGCCGCGGTCGCCCGGGCAAGTGGAAGCGGCAGGCGAGGCGAGCGAGTTCACGGAGTACTCAGGTGCGTTCTATACACTGGTCCCCATACGACCGCGTCGGCGTGGTGAACGCCGATCCTTAAGGACTTTTGCCGGCGTTTCTCTCCGCCCACCCCTCGGTTTCAATCCCCACCCTCGGCGCCTTTCAACTCCACCTGACGCCTTTCAACTCCACCCCGCCATCGCTTTGTATGGAACGACCCTCAGAGTTTGAATGCGACGGCGAGCATCTCATGGCGGACGTGCGCGTGGTGACGACGCCGAGGGCGGGGTCGCCGCCGCCGGGCGGCGGCGGCGCGCGCGGGTACTTCGGCGGCGGTCACGAAGACGGCGCCGGGGCGTCGATCCCGCGGCCGAGGAGCCGGCTCGGGATGAACCGAGACGACGACGGCGGCGGCGGCGGCGACGACGGCGACGACTCCGTCGCGAACGTCGCCGAGGAAGCCGCCGCCGCGGACCGCGACGCGCGACGCCCCCCCGGGCGGATGCTCTCCTTCGGCGCGGATCCGCACCACGGCGCGACGATCGAGGTCAGCGCGGCCGGGGAGCTCGTCCGCGGGGAGACGCCGAGCTGGGGGTACACGCCGGAGCCGTCCACGGCGGGGGGGTCCTCGAGACGTTCGACCGCGACGTCTCCGGGCGCGAGCGGCGGCGGCGGCGGCGCCGGGACGGCGCCGGCGACGGGGACGACGCGCGAGGCGATCCCTTCGATCGACGCGCGAGGGCGAGGGACGGACGGCGGGTCGAGGCTGAGCGCGGCGGCGGACCCCGCGGACAGGGCGATCGCGCGCGCGTTGGGGGACACGTTTCACACCGCGGGGGGGACGCCGCCGCGGCGCGGCGCGTCCCCCGGCGTCGGAGGGTCGAACGAAACCCAAACCCAAAACGTTCTCCTCTCGTCGCCGCCGCGCGCGAGGACGCGCACGTCCACGGGCAACGGCGCCGGGAGCGTGGACACCTCCGTGGAGTACGCGTACGGCCGCGTCCTCGCGCCGGACGACGACCTGACGTCCGAGTGCGAGGAGGTCTGCCTCATGATCCAGCACTGCGTCGGGCTGAGAGACAAGTACGTGTTCGTCTCCGAGCTCGAACGCGACCCGAGCCTCGTGCGGCCGGACCCGTCGAAGCCGTACGGGTCGCACTACCCGTCCACGCCGCGGTCGATGCGCGCGCTGTCCGGGGTCTCCGATCCGTTCGCCGGCGGCGCGGAAGACGGAACGTCGACCGACGCGGCGGGCGGCGGCGGCGGCGGCGGCGGCGAGGAAGAGAAGGAAAACGATCCAAGCCGCGGCCCGCGCGGGTCCTCGGTCGTGACGGGAGTGGTGGACATCGTCCCGGACGACGACCTCCCCGGGGCGTCCGCGCACGCGTTCGAGATGGTCGCCGGCGTGATGCACGTGTACGACGTCCACGGCGTGGACGGCGGGTCCGGGTCGTCGCCGACGTCGACGCCGGGCGGCGGACCCAAGGCGTCTGAGAGGGAGGGCGTCTTGGGGACGTGGGAGCCGGGGGAGGGCGCGGCGACGCCGACGCCGCCGAAGGCGAAGGGGGACGCGGAACGTCATCAATCGTCGCGGTCGTCGAGGTCGTCGAGGTCTCCGCTTCTTTCGCTCCCCGGGGATGCGCGCAGGACGTTGGCGTTCGCGCACCCGCCGAGCGCGACGGAGTTTTTCCACGACATGCACGCGGTGCTGCGGGTGCACTCCTACGGCCCTTCGAAGACGTTTTGCCACAAGCGGCTCTTGCTCACGGAGCAAAAGTTTTCGCTGCACGTGATGTTAAACGCGGACCGCGAGTTCCTCGCGCAGAAGGAAGCCCCGCACAGAGACTTTTACAACGTCCGCAAGGTGGACACGCACGTCCACCACAGCGCGTGCATGAACCAGAAGCACTTGCTGCGGTTCATAAAGAGCAAGCTCAAGCGGGAGCCGCACGAGCAGGTAATTTACCGCGACGGAAAATTCCTCAATCTTCGCGAGGTGTTCGAGTCCATAGGGATAAGCGGGTACGACCTCAACGTGGACACGCTCGACATGCACGCGGACAAGAACACGTTCCACAGGTTCGACCGGTTCAACCTGAAGTACAACCCGTGCGGGCAGTCGCGCCTGAGGGAAGTGTTCATCAAACAAGACAACCTCATCCGCGGGCGGTTCCTAGCGGAGATCACGAAGGAAGTCGTGAACGACTTGGAGGCGAACAAATACGCGATGGCGGAGTACAGAATCTCCATCTACGGCCGACGAATGGTCGAGTGGGACACCCTCGCGTCGTGGGTTCTGAACAACCGGATATACAGCAAGAACGTCGTGTGGCTCATTCAGCTCCCTCGTCTGTACAACATCTACCGCGGCCAAGGGACGATTCAGAACTTTCAGCAGATGCTCGACAACATCTTTCGACCGCTGTTCGAGGTCACCGTGGACCCGAGCTCGCACCCGGCGCTGCATCACTTCCTGCAGCTCGTCGTCGGGTTCGACATGGTCGACGACGAGTCCAAACCCGAGCGCCGGCCGTCGAAGCACATGCGCACGCCGGAGGAGTGGGACGTCCCGCACAACCCGGCGTTTTCGTACTACGCGTACTACGTCTACGCGAATTTGTACACGCTCAACCGACTTCGCGAGCGGAAGGGATTGAACACGATCTCGTTCCGGCCGCACGCGGGCGAGGCTGGGGACATCGACCACCTCGCCGCGGCGTTCCTTCTCACGAAGAATATCGCGCACGGGATCAACTTACGGAAATCGCCGGTGCTGCAGTACCTCTACTATCTCACGCAGATCGGGCTGAACCTCTCGCCGCTGTCGAATAACTCGCTGTTTCTGGATTACCACCGCAACCCGTTTCCGATTTTCTTCGCGCGGGGGTTAAAGGTGGCGCTCTCCACGGACGACCCGCTGCAGATACACATGACGAAGGAGCCGCTCGTGGAGGAGTACTCCGTCGCCGCGCAGGTGTGGAAGATGTCCGCCGCGGATCTGTGCGAGATCGCGCGGAACTCAGTCTTAAACTCCGATTTCCCGCACGAGGACAAAAGGCACTGGGTCTCCGACACGTACTGGCTCTCCGGCGCCGCGGGGAACGACATCAAGCGCACGAACGTCCCGAGCATCCGCATGCAGTTCCGGCACGACGTCTTAGAGGCAGAGAAGACGCTCATCGAGGCGGGGGTGAGGCAAGCCACGAGCAAGGGGCGCGCGTTGCAAGTGAGTTAGTAGAGTGTGCTAGCTAGCGCGTCGAGGTCTGCATAACACCGACGGTCATCGCCCGTCGTCGAGGTTTAAATACGCGTCCGCCGCCGCCGCCGCGTCCGCCGCCGCCGCGTCCGCTCGCACGCTCGCGGCGACGCTCGCGGCGAGCGCCTCCGCTTCGTCGTCGGCGTCCTCGCGCGCGCCGTCCGTGACGCCGGCCCACGCCCCTCCGTCGCCGCCGCCGTCGCCGCTGTCGCCGGTTCCAGCCGTCGACGCCGCGACACCCGCCGCCGCGCGCCGCGCCGCCTCAGCCCGCTTCTTCTTGTACGACGCCGGGGGCGCGCTCAGCGGGCGGCGCGGTCTCGGCTGATACGGCACGCGGTCCGTCCACCCGAGCTCGCGGAGGTCCTCCGGGAGCGGCGGCGGCGGCTCGTACCCGAGTCGTCGGCTCGAAGACGGCCGCGAGGCTGCGGACGGTTTCGTGCGCTCGATGCGCTTCTCGGCGATCTCCGCGCCGCCGCCGCCGCCGCCGCCGTTCTTCTCCCTCGCCGTCGCCGCGCTCTTGATCTCGATCCCCGGCGGTAACGCGTCGCCCTCGCACGCGTACACCAACCGCTGGTCCCGCACCAGTTGCGACGCGAACTCGAGCTCTTGGCCGCCGACGTCCTCGATCCAAATCGCGACGATCTCTTCGTCGCTCGCGAGCTTCGCCGCGCGCGCCATCTTCTTCTTGAGCGTGCGGAGGCTCCAGCCGTGGACGGCGTCCGGGACGCGCAGCGCGATGGGCGCCGTCGACGACGCGGACGACGCCGCGGCGCCGGCGCCGCCGCCCGCGGAGGCGACGCGGTCGACGGTCACCTCGAAGAATCCCGCGCCGGCGGCGGCGGCGCCGCCGCCGCCCGCGCCGGCTCTCGGCTCCGCCAACGACGCCGCGCGCCGTCGCTCGCGCTCGCGCGTCCGCAGCCTCGGCTCGTGGTCTCTCGCGCGCGTCGACCCGGGGTCGACCTGCGCGGCGCACCGGTACAGGATCAGCTCGCCGTCCGCGAGTTGTTCCAGGCTCTCGATCGGTTTCCCGGCGGCGTCGTAGAGTTTTTGGACGCGCGTCGACGCTCGGCCTGAGAGGAGAATCACGTCGCTGACGCGTTCGTACGCGTCCGCGAGGGACTCGCAGCAGGACGGGATGACGCACGTGAGCACGGGCCATCGCTTCATCGATTTCTTCTCGCCGCCGCCGGGGTCGCCGCCGCGCGAGGTCGGCTGGAGGGTGATCACCGCGCGCGATTTCCGCGGCGACGGCGCCGCGAGCGCGTCGATCGCCGTTCGTCGCGCCGAGGTTGGCCTTTGTAACGCCCCAAACCCGGGCGTTTTAAACACAGGAGGACCCGCCTTCTTCGCCGCAGTCGTCGTCGTCGTCGTCGTCGCGTACGACTTATCCCCCGCGGTCCTCGCGACCACCGTCTCCCCGTGCGTGAAGTCGCACACCGACCGTTTCTTCTTTTCGTCGCCGTACCCGTACACGCCCGACACGGGCGTCGCCATTCGAAGCGCGTCCGCGATGCGAGGGAACAGCTCCCCGAGCGCGGCGGCGCCGTCCGGATCGTTCGCGACGCGCTTGAACGTGAACGGCGTCGGTTTCGGTCGGCGCGACGACAGCGGCCGCGCGAACGCCGCGGGCGTCTCCGGGTCCGTTGCGGCGTCCTTTCCCGCCGCCTGCGTGGGTGAAGCGATCGGTCAGTCGAACGTCTTGCCGGTCAAACGTTGAAAGGGAAGCGCGGGTGAAGAGTGACGACGGGAAAAGTCCTTAAGGAACGGCGTGCACCACGCGAACGCGGTCGTATGGGAAGCAGTCTCACCTCCGCCGCCGCCGCGCGCGGCCGGACGAGGTAGACGGTCAACGTCTGCACCTTCGCCTCGGTCATCGGCTTCCCCGGCGCGCGACCCACGCTCTTCACCGGCGGCGACGCGTACGGATCGTTCTCGTCGTATAACGCCGTCATCGGCAGCGTTAGGGCGCCGTCGTCGTCGTCGTCGTCGCGGCCGCGGATCGCTTTGGTTTTTCTGGCCGTCTTGGACGGGGAGGACGCCGGGGAGGCGATGCGCACGAGCGCGGAGGCCATCTTCGCCGCGGGCGGGCCGCCTCGCGCTCTCTCCGCCGCGACGACGGACTCTGCGCGCGCGGTGTAGTACACGGGGGGTACGGCACGGTCACGGTCGCGGTCGCGGTCGCGCGCGATGACGTCGGGACGGACGGCGGACGAACGCGCGAACGAACGAACGTCAGCGAATCGATCGACGGATGAACGCATCGGGGGGTGCTCACTCACCCGCGACGGCCGCGGCGACCGCGGTCTCGACCGCGCGCGCGAGTCCCGCGAGGTCCTTCGCGCGCTGCTTCGCCTCGATGATCGCTGCGGGGCGCGGTGGAGGGGGGTGTGGAGATGACGGCGTCAGCGCGCGGGCGGGCGACGCGTCGCGCGGTCTCGGGTCGGGACGGGGCCCCGGGGGGAATCAACGTCGTGTCGTGGCTTTCGCGCGAAGCATCACAGAAGACGAGGACGCGCCCGCGGAGAACGCCGGGGTGTTGATCGCGTTCTTCGCGCCGCGGACGTGCTTCGTCAGCGCCGCAGACGCGTGCTGCGCGTCCGCGCAGCCGCGCAGCGCCTGGTCGAGCATCGTCGCGGCGTGGTTGACGACGCGCACCATGGCGGTCGCGCCCGTCGGAATGCGCACACCGACTCGGGACGCGGACGACGCGAGACTCGAGTTTTCATTTTTTACTTTTCATCCTGTCGTCGTCGGGATGATTTCGTCGTTCGTCAGAAGTACACACTGGCAGTGTTCTCGGTCGCGCTCACGCTCGCTTCTCCTCCGCGGACGCCTCCGGCCACGTCTCGGTGTCGTCCACGGTGAGACCCTCCTCCGTCGTCGGCCACTCGTCGTCGTCGTCGTCGTCGTCGTCGTCGTCGTCGTCGTCGTCGTCGTCTTCGTCGTTGTCGTCCGTCTCTTCCGGCGGCGGCGGCGTCTCTTTTTCGGGCTGGTCCGGCTCCTCGGGTTCGGCTCGCGGGTCCTCCGCCTCCGGGACCTCGTCCGGGGGTTCCTCTTCCTCCGGCTCGTCCGGGGTCTCCGGTTCCGGTTCGGGCTCTTCCGTCGGTTCGCGCGGGGGTTCGAGCGGCGGCGGCGGCGGCGGCGGCGTCGCTTCAGGTTCCGGCGTCGGTTCAGATTCTGCGTCGTCGTCGTCGACGCCGGCCGCCGCCGTCGCCGTCGCGTCCTCCTCCTCGTCGTCGTCGTCGTCCCCGCCCTCTTCCTCTTCCTCTTCCTCGCCGCCGTCGGTCGCGTCCTCCGCGTCGACGTCCACGTCCCCGACGTCGGCGAACGTCGGCCGCGCGAGCGCTTCAAACGTCGCCCGCAGCGCGTCCACGGCCTCAAACGGCTCCGTCAACGCCCCGGGCTCGTCCCCCGGCGCCGCCGCCGCCGCTACCCCTCTCGTCGCCGCGGGAACGATGACGTCAGCGCGGTGCCGCAAGTTCATCGCCTCCGTCGCGATCGACTTCAAAGCTTCCTCGGCCTCGACGTACGTGCGCTCGATCGCGCGCGCGGCGGCGATAAACTCGGACTGGACGTCCGCGCCGAGCCCGAGCTCGCGCGCGCGGTTCTTCTTCTCGGCAATCTCTTGGAGCTCGCGCGAACAAAACGTCACGCGCTCCAAGCACAGACGCATCGCGACGCACTGCGAATCCACGTGCGCGCGCACCGCGTCCGAGAACCTCCGCTTCGCGCACGCTTCGTCGTCCTCCGCGTCTGAAAGTAACGCCTTCAGAGCGCCCGTTACTATCCTCGCGACCGCGTCCAGCGTGGACGCGCACGCCGCGACGACGGCGGCTTCCGCCTCGTACTCGCCTCTTCTCGCCTCGAGATCCCGCGCCTTCACCGCGAGCGCGGAGCGAATCGCGTCGTTGCTCGCCTCGAACGCCGCGCGCTCCTCCGTGGTGATCGACGCGCGCGCGGACGTCTCGTTGACCTTCGCGCTCACGACCGCGAGCTCGGCCTCGAGCTCGGCTTTCCGCGTCTCGAGCGTCTGAAGCTCCGACGTCACCGCCGCCTCCGCGGCGCGAAGTTCTCTCGACTTGACCTCTCTGAACGCCGTCGCGGACTCGAGGCGCGCGGCGGCGTCTATCGACAGCGCGTCGACGTCCGTCGTCGCCTTCGCGAGCGTCTCGCGCGCGTCGCGGAGAGTCTCGAGCGCGACGGCGGTCGTCGTCTGGTGGTCGGAAGGCGAAGGTTCACCCGCGGCGGCGGTCGACGACGACGGCGGCGGCGACGGCGGCGACGGCGACGACCGAAGCCGAAGCGACGCGACGCGCGCGGCGGCGGCGGCGTGGAGCTCGCGCGTCAGGTCCACCGCGCGCTGCGTTTTCATGGATCCAGAAATCGCCGCCCTCGGGGCGATCGCGGCGGCTCGCGCGGCGGCGGCGCTCTTTCGGCTTCCGGAGCCCGCGGACGCGACGGACGCGGACG